TGTGCTACAGGCTATAAATATTTGCTAAAAGTAATTATTAAATTGTTACTATTTGTTACATGAACTAATATTAAATTTTAAATATTATTTTAAGGGTTATTATAAATTATTGCAGATGTTTTTAATATTATTTTATCATTATATTTTCATTCTGCAACAACGTATATCGGATATCCGATAAGTTAAAAAATATTTTATATATATATCAGATACTCGATAAGTGTAAAAAATATTTTCTACACCTATCAGGTATTCGATATACACCCGATATTAGGGACATACCATATACATATCAGGTACCCGATATATGTATATTTTATCAATTTTCGACCAGTGTTTATATTGTGACTTTCTTAGTGAAAACCCTCTCATTAATTGTCTTGCTTTGTGATCTTAACAATTCTTGTCATTATTATTTTTTTCTTGATGATAAAAATAATTATTGATTAATAATACCCTACTTCGTAACCTTAGTATTATAGTTATTTAAAAATTAACCCTGCTTTGTGATCTAGGTTAAGTTATTAAGTTCTTCGTGAATTTGTTTAGTTTCTTGATAAAACTTTGTTGTCTTTGTGACTTGTAACAATAGTTAATTAGTAAATCCCTATAAAATTTCACATTTTTAGTCACTTTTGATCAAAATTCACATTATTCAAATCCTTCTTATTATTACTTTATTAACAGTAATACCTATTCAGTTATAGTTAATTGTTATAGTGTTTAAAGTCTATAAATACAATTCTTACTACCAGTCACTTAGTTTTCTTTGATTTGTTTAGAAAGTAAATCAAGGTTAATAATATATATCATATGAAGATATAGTTGATATTTCATACTTTTTATATAAAATATACAATTGTATTTTTAATAAAAAATATAATTTTTTATCAAAAGTAATCTTTTTTACAAATATGTTTATATAAACAAAAAATAGATTCCTATTGTTAACTTTATTTCTTTAATTCTTATATATATTTATTATTAATATTATTATATTTAATAACATATTTTAGTTAGGTTTCTTTATTTGTATAATATTATATATTAGTACTATTATTTACGAGTAACAGATGTAGGTCATTTTTATTGTAATACAAGATCAACACCTCTGGTTAACACCTTTAGTTAATACCTCTGGTCAACACCCCTGGTAAACACCTCTAGTACAAATAACTCATTAGTCAAAAATAGCTTATAAAATAACTTGAAATGTAATGGAAATTTCCAGAGCTTTCTTGAGATTAGTAATTATAGTCTCGTGACATAATGGCAATTTTGTATAAATAAAGATAGCTTTTACCTTTAGAGTTAGGACAGTTAGAACTTAAATACATTTTGAACTTAATATATTGTATGTAATAAATTATTAATAAAAAGTCTTTGTGACAAGTAATAATTTGACACTTTTGAATTCTTAGTAAAATATTTTCTTGATAATAATATTCTGCTTTGTGATTTCAGTATTATTTTGTTTATAATTAACCTTGCTTTGTGATCTAGATTAATTATATTAATTCTGTGTAAATTCTTATAGTTTCTGTATGAAACTAATAATATTCTTTGTGAATACCTATAAACTTAGTAAAAAATTTCATATCTCTTTAAATCCTTACATCTTTAGTCTCTTTTGAACAAACCTGTAACAACAAATCCTTTACTCTTTATACCTTTTCAAGTATAAAACTCTCCAACTTTAACATATTCATTTAATTACTTTGTGATCTTTTGGACAATAGTTTTCCTGTTATTAGTTGTTAGTTAATCATATTTAGTAAAGGTAATTATAGTCAACACTATTATCAATAGTGATAATTAATTAATAATTTTCAATTTTGAATATTTGAATAATTATTTTTTTTTGAATTAAATTTTTTTGTAACATTTATTATATAAATTAATAAACTAATAAATTGATAAATTAACATTTGTATATAATAAACAATATAATATATACAAATCAATAAAATATCTTATCAGTTATATCTGAAATATAATTTAACATAAATAAAATTTCAAGATGTAAGTGAATTCTAATTATGATTATTTATCAGATAAAATAGAAAAAAATGAAAAGTATAATAGTGTTTTTAATAATAATTTATTTATTAAATTTAATAATAAATAAATAATGAGTCTTATAAAAATACAAATATTTTAATTATTCAGATTGTTTCAGAAGAGAATGTAAAAATAAATATAAAACTTTTTATAATTTTAATATAGATATTATAATTGATTCTTATATGAAAATAAATACAAAAACAATAATTGATCAAGAGTATAAAATCAAATACAAGAATAGTAATTAATCAAGAGTGTAAAGCAAATGTGAAATCAATAATTGATTAAAAGTGTGAAAGCAAAAGTGAAATCTTTCACTCTTGAATATAAGTAAATACAAAGTTTTTTACTAGTTGAAACTATTATAATCTAATGAAGTGAGTTTATTATAATTTATATAAACTATAATTATTTTAATTCATATTTGAAAATTTCATTATTAACTATAAAAAATGATAATAATTAAAGTTGTATATATTTTATTTAACTACAATTCTTTATAAGATAATTAATATTTATTTTTTATATTCATTATTGAAATTTATATATAATAAAAATTTAAAAATTTTATATCAAAATTGATACACCTATCAATTTTTTAAAAAAAAGTTTATGCAGAATAACTAAAATAATTTATTTTTAAAAATTGTCAAGTATGTTTATACTTTTTACCAGTGAATGTATGTTATATTATAAAAAGAATTAAACAATGGATCTCTTAAAAAACTTTTAAATAATAAAAAATAAACTTTTTATTGTTATTTAAGAAGTAAGAAAAAAAAAATAAGTGATAACATTTTTTCTCTAATTTTTTTTCACTGGTAAAATTATGCAAAATGACGTATAAGTGTGGGAATATTTTTAAAATATCCGAATATTAACAATTTGCATTTTTTGATTTAATTTATTTAACAATGTGGATTTCCGGTTAGTTCCGGTGGATCTTTCCTTTAAAACCGGAAATCTATCCTGAAAAAAAAATCAGCCAATCCCAATTTCGGAATTATTAAGTAACTAGTTGAGCACTAATTAGCTTTTATATAAATTTTGGGGTTCATCCGTGTTGTCAAACAACATTCCCAACATTCCTCCCAAAATTTTCAAAAAAAATTTTTTTTTCAATCAAAATATTTATATATAATAATAATTATTAATAAGAGTTTTTTTTTTTTCTTGCGGTTGGTTGTTTGTTGGTTCCCAGCGATATATCCATTTATTAGATTACCCCCACAATATGCCGGTGTGTACATCGTGCCATCAAACTAAACAAGACGAAGCATTCTTTCATAAAAATAAAAAGTGGAAAACTTGTCAAAACTGTATCGAACAAAGGGCACTAAAAAAACAAAAAACAAAGAGAAAACGCGATGACCAAGTTGTGGAAGAAGAGGAACCTATGCGAGTTACTCTTAGAACTGTTGGACTTATGGAATTGTCTAATCTAGTATCCACAGAAATACGTAACCTAGTTCATAACCCTCAACCACCAATCGGCCCTGACGGAACTCCACAATGCTCTTTGAATTTACGCGTGGCTCTGAATCTTTCAAACATGATAACTGGGAATGAAAATCCTAAGGATGTTGCCAGGTGGATTGTTGAAGAAATTGAAAGAGCCGACGAATATAATTGGACGTGAGTATTTGAATTATTATTATTAAAATTAATTATAATATAATTATATAATTATTATTAAATTAATTATTATTAATTAAATTATTTTAAAATTATTTAATATTTTACTAAAAGTTAATATTATTTATTTTAATTAACAATTATTTCTAGATATAATTGTATGAATACATCGATGCGTCATAAAGATGTTGCAAAGTTTTATTATGTTTGTAGTCAATCAATTGTTGCAATGAAAGAATATAAAGAAGGTTCAAATAGGAAACGAATGGAACGTTTCCCTTGTCAAGGAAAAATGCAAATGAAAATTGATATGCCAGCCTCTGAAGCTATGTTAGAAATTCATCATGGTATTCTTCATAATCGACCAACTATTACATCAGAAATTAATGAGGAATGTCGAAAAGAGATTGAAGAAAATCTTCAATGTTCACCAATTCATTTACGACAAATACTTCGAACAAAAAATGTAATGAAAAATTATACACCTAAACAAATTCATTCATATTGGGAAAGGGTGGCTTCTAGTAAATTCCCAGATTTGGTGACACAATTTTCTATTACACCCGTTTTACAAACTCCACCACAATCACAACCACAACCACCTCCATCAATTATTCCTCCTAATATTGAAAATAATTATGCTATGATACCGACAATGTCAACTTTACCATCTTATCAATCTTTACCACCACAAATTACATCTACAATGATTTCTAATACACCGCCACCTACTTCACAAAAAGGAGGAATAACAACAACAACGAATAAAGAGATCACTACTAAAGTTATAGTTGGCAATAATAATAATAATAATAATAGTAATAATAATAATAATAATAATAATAACAATAATCATCCACAATTTAATCATGATGAATTTGTTGAATATGTTTCAAAGATGGAACAATTCGCTAAGAGATGTAAAACTCAATTGGAACGTCGAAATTATATTTGGTTGGATACAGTGAAAATATTGACTGCAGGGGTTATCGAAATGGAAAATGATATTGCTGAATTAGAAAGAGCACGATCTAGTGAAAGAGGAGCTACCAAACCATGGACGGTTCATTATAAATAATTTTATCATTAATTCCCCCTTTTTTTTATAATTTATTTCTATAGATATCTTCTCTATTATATATATTCGTTTTATTTTATTTTATTTTATTTTATTTTATTTTGTTTATCATTCTTGAATTCTTCCTGAATTTTCTTTTTGAATTATTATTATTATTTTTTTTTTGATTTCTGTGGTGATAAAATACTTTTCCAAACTTTGTAATAATACGTTTTTTTTTTTTTTTGATTTCACACATTATAACTAAAAGTTAAAGAATAATTTTTAATAAATTGCGACTAATTTTGACAAATTCAAAATCTCAACACTCTTATAAAATTTTATTTTTCTTTGACTATCAAATACATTACACATTTTCAAATTTACATTTTTTTATTTATTTTAATAATTTTAATAAAAATTTTATTAGGAAGAAAGTATCCTTAATATTTCCATTGCTCTACTATATTTTATTTCATTTTCACTTTCATTTTCATTTTCATTTTGTTTTGTTGTTTGTGAAGTTAGTGATGGTGAAGATTCTGATTCTAAATTTTTCTCACTGCTGTTGTCCAATTCTGCCTTATTAATGATATTTTGAGCTTCCTTTAATGTTGACTTTTATTAAAAAAAAAAAAAAAAGATTTGTAAAATATTAAAATATTTTATTATTTATTTTTTTGAAAAAAAATTTTTTTTATACCAAAAAAAAGAAGTTACATACTTCACGTGCGTGACCTGTCATATCTGTTATATATTCCAAGAATATCTGGAAAAAGTCATCAGGAAACTATAAATAAATTAAAATGTAAATTAAAAGGTAAATTAAAAGATATTAAAATCCAAAGTAAATTAAAGTTGATTAAATACCATATCTTTATTATATACATGTTTCAGTAACCAAATTTGACGTATTTTTTGAAATTTCCAATTCGAATTATGAAATTTCCATTCGGCAAGATAATGTAATGCTATTTATTAATTAATTATATTAATATGAATTGTCAGTAATGATACTCAGTTCCAGCAAAGAAGTGAAAAAAGTGTTAAATATACCTGTTTTTGTCGCTATTGATGATTCTTTAGGAATGGTTATTTCCGATTTTTCAATTAAGGATTCCAGCTTTTCTAACTTTTCCGAAGATATTTTGTCGTCATTTAATTTCTTTTTTGATTTTTTTGATTTTCTTTCATTTTTACCATTACTAACACCATCATTATCAATTTTTTGTTGTTCGGAGTTTACTTTTTTTGAATTTAACACATTTGAATTAATTTCTTTGACATTGTGAACTTTATTTATATTATTATTATTATTACTATTTTTTTTATTTTTGATTTTGTCTAATTGATGATCATTATTCTTTTCATCTTTTAAAGAATTTTGTAAAGTTAAGAATTTCTTCCAGTTTGGAACGTGCTTTGTAGTTTTTTCAGTTTTAACGTTTTGTGAAATAGAGAATTCTTGGGAATTCGACAATGACATTATTTACAAATTGTCAAAAAAAAAAAAATCAAAAATGTCGGAATAAAAAATAAATTTTGTGCTACTTTTATAACTAGAATAAGGAATTTTCATATGGGAACCTAAATTTTTGGTCAATCATATTTTTTCGAAAAAAACTCAAATCAATTTATGTTTCGGCCTCCAAGTAAGAATATTTTTATTAAGACTTAACTAGACTTTTTGTTTATAACTGTCAACCCATCAACCCAACCCTACCCTGCGAAAAATCTTGTTTCTAATGTTTAATAATTTTATTTTATTTTGTTTTTTCTTGTTTTTCGCTAACTTAACTATGGTAGTAATCGAGTAGAATATTAAACAAATAAATGATTATCGCATTTATAATTAAGATGTATAATTATTTCTAATTCTTGTTTGGCTATAGAAACATTTTGTTGATTTACAACTTTGTTGTGATTAATTTTCAAAAGGATAGTAAGACATAGTAATCGCGATTACTTCCAATCGTATGTGAAGTGAAGAACGTAAGAAAAATTTATTATTATAATCTAAACTATACTGCCTATTTTCTATCTTCTTTTTATTAATTTTTAATTTTTTTTTTTTAATTTATTTTTAATTTATTATTTTATTGTTTTATTTTATTTATTTTATTTTTTATTATTTTTATTATTTTTATTTAGAAAAATCTTTCTGCCGTCCAACACAAATAATCCTATAATCATCGAAATATCCATCATAATCACTTACCTCCTGTTTCTTTTTTCCGTTCGTCTTCGTGGTTCAAAAGCCAGAATCCGGAGAATTCTAAAATATTTAATATTAAAGAATTTAATTAAAAGTTTAATACAACCTATAATTACCATTGTAATTGGCGTACACTATATCTATTGAACTTCTCCATAAATAAAACTTACCGTATTTGAGGAAAGAGACTTTTCTCTGTGGTGAATGGTGCGGCAAGTCCCGCCCTAATAAAGGTAATAAATAAATAAAATAATAATAATAATAAAATAATGGCACTTACTGGAAATGAGGGGTTATTGCCTACCGTACAACAATCTACTCACCTTCCTTTCCTTTCCAGTTGAGTCCGATAAAATTTGTACGACCAACCTTCCCTCCTAATTAGAAAGAAACAAAATATTATCATTGATGCTTGCTTTTTTTTCAATAAATTAAATAATGTTTACCATTTTGGAAGTGTATTCTGTTACACAACGGGTGTCATTTCGTTCTTCCCCTTTTGGATCTAAAATTTTTGATTGTTTTTAAAAAAGGGGACTCAAATTTTTTTAAATCCATTTTTGATCTAGTTTATCAAATAAATGGGACACACGCCTATACAGTTTTTCTAACACGTTATAATTGTTTATTTTGTTTTTTTCCAATATCTTAATTTATACGTAGAGAGAGAGAGAGAGAGATTAATGTTTCGTTTTCAACTTAAACCACCAAATCCATTGAGCCAAAGTAAAGTAATTTTTGTTAAGACCCCTCTATAGTGGATACAAAAAAACCGTGACTATATAGAGATGTGACAATTATGGAGGTTTTTTATATAGCATTAATAGGCGTTGGTTTTATGAAAGATGTGACTATATAGGGTGTGACTATAGAGGGGTCTGACTGTAATTGGTAAAATTAAAATCTTTTATTCTATGTATTAGTTGAATTAAAATAAAAAATAAATTTCTATAAACTCCGAGTCATGAGCCCACTAATCTATCATTGATTGCAATTACGTATATAAAAAAATTAAAGTTAAAGAAATTGAAGAGCAATTAAAGCAGAGTATAAAGAGGCAAAAAAAGAAGTTGGAAAAGTTTGAGTGGGAAGGAGGGAAACTTGAAAAGGTTGACCAAGTTGAAGAAGGGGAATGAAAAATTACGAGGAGAATTAATTGAGAAAAAAAAAGTTGAAAATTTTGGGAAGGTCAAGTGGAAAATTAACAAGATGCGTTAATTTCATTGAATAAAGAGTAAGGTAATGAACAAATTGGATATATAAATTTTCATTAATTTCAATTCTTTATTTATTTATCTATTTGTGTAAACATTTGATAACTTACACTTTTTTTCTTTGTTATTTAGGAGAAACAGCAGCTTCATTTCACTCCTGGTAATACTATTATCGTCAAGTCACCCCACAAGTATTTTGGAAAGTATTTTAATTAAATGCTATCAATGAATTTTGAACGTAATAATCCCACAAATAGATTCATTGAAATAATTGACTGATAAATATTAATAATAGAAATGTACTGAATATAAAAAATTTTCCAGAAAAAAAAAAAATAAATAAATAAATAAGAAACGTACTGCCAAGTTTAGGATCCCAAATTTTGTAATCTTGACTGTTACTTATTCATTTATTTATTTATCATCATTCTTTTCTCTAAGAAAGGTTTTCAATTTGTCTAATGCTTTATATCTATGTGAAATTGTATTTTTGACAGACTTTGGCATTTCTGCATATCTACAAAAATTAAAATAAAAATATAAATATAAAATGTCAAATCAATAATATTATTTAATAATAATGTTACTAACGTCTCTTCAAATCCATCTGGTTGAAAAATTGGATCCCATCCAAAATCTGTGGGTCCACGTGGAGGAACAATCTTGCCCTTTTCAAAATTTTAAAATATATATCAGTAATTAAAAATTTTAGGAATTTTTCTCTCAAGAATAAGTAATATATTACTTCAGTACGGCCTTCAAATAATATTGGTTCCGAGCCAGGTCCAATAGAATACGCGAATGTACATAAAGCATAAGCGGATTTATCCTCAAAACCTGCCAACATTCGGTTTAAACCTATAATAACAAATAATAATATCATTAATATTATATTTCCTTGTTTACTTGAATGAAATAAATGATCATTTATCATAAATTAATCTTACCATCATGTCCTAATTTACCCAAGAACCATTTTCTGTTATTATTATTATAATTATTTTTTAAGATAAATTTTAATAAAGTTTTTGAATATTTTTGAATGTTGTTAAATATTATTAAGTGTTATTAAGTGTCGTTGAGTGTCATCGAGAACAAACACGTGTTATAATGGTAAACTAACATGTATGGCCCTGGTAAACCTTTTAATGCGTTAAAACAAAGACAAGTATCTTCGGTTATAACTGGTTTATTCAGCTATAATAATTATAACAATAATAAAAATAATAATAATAATAATAATAATAATTATTATTATTATGAGTGATAATAAACAATTAATGAAATAATAATAATTATTATAAAAAACCTCAATAGCTGCACTTTTACATTTATTAGCTGATATTTCATCAGGTGTGCCTTGTATCTCTGGTACTAATTCGATAAAATATTATTAAAGTTTATTCGGATATATCAAAAAGTAAGTAATTAATGAATTAATTAAATAATAATAAATTAATTAAATAATAATAATATATATGTTACAATCAAGACTTTGACTCGTCAATTCAACAAAAGTTCCAAGAATGGCTTGAACTTCTTCAAGTTTTTTTTTGTTTCCAGTTACGAAAACTAACGAGAATGAAAAAAATAAATTATTAAAAAAAAAAAAATTTGATAAATTTTTAAATACGTAATGCAATTTTTTTTTTTTTAAAAAATATACCTAATTTACGAGAGGCCATGTTTTGATTTCGATCGATCTAAAATTTTTTCCCTTGAAATATTTAAATTGTCTGAAACGAACCCCCTGAAATTTATTTTAACAAAAAAAAAAAAACTACCAGATACAGTTGGATCACACAAGCCCCTCGATAAAAGTTTAACTTTAAACTTTATACTATTTATTTGATATATATATTATTATTATAATTCGAGAAAAATCAAAAAAATCAAAAAATTTTTTTTTCAGAGTTGTTATTATTTCATTATCATTTGAAAGTATTATTTATTATTATCTTTATTATTTAATTTTTTGTTTTAAAGATATAAAAATGGGTAAGTGTTCGATGACATCGATCGTCTCTTCTCTCACTCCTTTTTTTTTTCTTTTCAGAATTTTCTTTAGTTTTAAAAATAGTTATATTAAAAATATATATATTTATTACACAATATTATATAAATATAATATTTTAAATTAGGTGCATATCTTAGTAGAATTTTAGGAAGATTATGGGGTGAAAAAGAAGTTCGAATATTAATTTTAGGTCTCGATGGAGCGGGTAAAACAACAATATTGTATCGGTTACAGGTACAGTCAAATGATTTATTATTTTCAATTCCGATAATAATATCTTATTTACAATAATGATTTATTATAATTTTATTTCTTTAATTTAGATCGGAGAGGTTGTAACGACCATTCCAAGTAAGTTATTTATAATCTCTCTGAGATCTTGATATCTTTAATTATCTTTTAATTATCTTTTAATTATCTTTTAATTATCTTTAAATTTCTCGATTTTCTCATTAACCAAATTAATTAATTTAATTATTATTTTAATTATTATTATTATTATTATTATTATTATCATCATTATTTTTCTTGGATCGGATCAAAAAAAAAAAAAAAAGCTATTGGATTTAATGTTGAAACTGTAACATATAGAAATATTAAATTTCAAGGTAAATTTAAATTTTATAATATTCGTAATATTTTAAAATATTTTTATTATCAATATTGTTTATTAATATTATAAATATTATTATTTAATAGTCTGGGATTTAGGAGGTGAGAAATAACAAATTAATTTCTAATACGATAAAATAAAATTAATAAGATTATATAATATAATTTCATATTTATAAATTATTATTAGGACAAACAAGCATAAGGTAATTTAATATTTTAATATTTTTATACAAATTTATTCATAATTCATATTTATGTTTATTCGTATTTATATTTATTCATATCTTTTATATTTTCTTAAAAAAATATAATAATAATAATAATAATAATAATAATAATAATAAAGACCGTATTGGCGTTGTTATTATGCAAACACCGATGCAGTTATATACGTGGTAGATTCAGTAGATCGTGATCGATTAAGTACCTCAAGAGAGGAACTTCATGCCATGTTAGAAGAAGACGAATTACGTGATTCTGCATTATTGGTGTTTGCTAATAAACAAGATATGGTTGGAGCAATGTCTTCAGCAGAAGTTTCAGATGCTTTAGGATTAGGAACATTGAAAAATAGACAATGGAGTATTTTTAAAACAAGTGCGGTAAAAGGTGATGGGCTAACGGAGGGTTTGGATTGGTAAATTTATTATTATTTTAATTATTATTTTTTATTTTATTTATTTTTTTTTAATTTTTTAATTATTTTAATTACTAAATTATATTTTTTATTTTTATTTTTTTGATAGGCTAGTAAATATTATTCAAGGCAGTAAGCAACAACAATAATAATAAAAATAATAATAAAAAAAAAAAAGTAAATATTATTCAAAGCAGAAAATAACAATAAATTTATACTTGAAGTATTTTTTTTTAATATACAGTACTAAGGTATTTAATTATATATAATGAAAAAAATGTTTCCATGAACCTTTTTTTTTTCTCTTCAAACATAATTATCAAATAATCACTCAATATTTTTCAATAGTTATTTTTTCATATTTGCTGATTTTAATTAATATTTAATTATATATACAAACATCTTTTAATTATTATATATTCATTGATTTTAGATAAAATTAAAATATTTAATAATTTAATTATTATTATTATTATTATTATTAAATTTAAATGTAAATGTTGTAAATTTAAAAGTAATAATTCATTTATTATTATTATTATTATTATTATTATTATTATTATTATTACTATTATTATTATTATAATTTTTTATTAGTTATTAACAACAATAAAGTTCACATTGATAAATAGATTAAAAGAATTAAACCTTAAAAAATTATTATTTATTATAAATTTTTTGTACTGCAAAATATTATTTTTTTCATCTTTATACTATATTACAAAATATTACACACAGGTCGAAAAACCAAATTTCAGGTATTTTTCGGACCCTATCGGGGACCCGACTTGTACCGAATATCAGGTACCTGATATAACTGTAATATAAAATTATAATTAAGCCGTTATCGTAGCTGCATATAAAAGTTTTTAATTATATAATCAATCGTCAAAATGCTACTAAGTAAAACTTGTAGATAATAAAAATATCTATCATCCGTAAAATTTTCAACCGTATTTCATCAAAATTGTAAGAATTATTAATGTTTTAATTCGTATGGCCGTTCAAACTTTGATCGTTACTAATTCTCTCAATTTTAACAAATAGGTCTAATATTTTTACAGGCAATGTGATTTTTATTATTTACAAGTCTACTTAGTAATGTTTTGACAATTAAGTTATATAATTAAAAACTTTTATATGTAGCTACTATCGCAAATTATTTCCGATCTTATAAAAATATCGGGGAGCGATATAATTTATCAAAATATAAAATCGGAAATAATTTGCGATAGTAGCTACATATAAAAGTTTTTAATTATATAACTTAATTGTCAAAACATTACTAAGTAGACTTGTAGATAATAAAAATCTACATTGTCTGTAAAAATATTAGACCTATTTATTAAAATTGAGAGAATTAGTAACGATCAAAGTTTGAACGGCCGTACGAATTAAAGCATTAATAATTCTTACAATTTTAATGAAATACGGCTGAAAATTTTACAGATGATAGATATTTTTATTATCTACAAGTTTTACGATTTGATTACATAATTATAAACTTTTATATGTAGCTATGATAACGGCTTATTTATAATTTTATATTACGGTTATATCAGGTACCCGATAGGCAAATACCTAAATATTGGGTGCCCGAATTGTACCCAATATTTGGCGCAAGTCGGTGACCTATCGAGTACCCGACGGGGACCCGAAAAATACCCAAATTTGGTTTTTCGACCTGTACATATATCACCATGACATCGAAAAATCTATAAAAAACATTCAATATGTCCAAGGCCAGATTGCAAGAAAGAATTGGAATGTGAGATTGCATGTCTGGAAGTCAGAATTTCAGTGATTTAATGAATATTTCGCCATCACTATTTAAGAATCTCAAATATATGAAACCACCTCTCAAAAAAAAAATACCATATTATTTCCAGATAAATTATCCAACAAAAAATCGAAGACTAAGGGTTATCAAAGAACTATCTGCTGAAACGTCACAAGAATTTGAAGTTATTGACTAGGAAAACGGAAAACATTGTAAGTCCGGAGCAATAATTATGTAATAGATATTTTAAATATAAAAATATCAAAACGTAATTTTTGTTTTACCCTACGCGTCATCGTTACGCTCCAGACAATTTTGCTTTTCATGATATTTATCGCATATGGGGGCATACTAATAAATATCTGTATGAAAGAGCGTTCACAAGTCCAGAAGTTGATGCACCCTTAATTAATTTTAATTTTCGCTTTTTTTTTTCTAGTCAATTATTGATTACTAAAAAGGCTGACAATAATTATGAAAAAAATGATATATAATGATATATCAATTGATTTCTCTTTCAAAAATTTTCCCACATACTTGCAAAACAACTAAAGATGTATGATAGTTACTGCTCTAGCTCGTCTAATGTTAGCAGAAATAGCAGGATTAACAGACCAGAGTCAAGTGGTGCGTGATTTTTAACTTTGTTTCAAAATTTCTTGAGGGCAGAATAATGACAGTACATTTACCATAGAGAGCGCCACTACTTCCAATACCCCCTTTACCTCCATTATCTCGAATCAAAGGTAAATAAATATTGCAAAGATACTTCACGTCTAATTTTTTGGCTAACTAAAGCCATTTCTTGGTAATGATAGCACTTTTGTTGTTCATAAGCTTTTTGAAGGAGATGAAGAATTAACGAAGCTCCGCCGATTATGGTAGAAAGAGGGCAACATACACCCACGAGCAAAATGGGAAGAGGCAACGTAAGTTGTTCCAATGTTTGACTGAATATTTATTAAGTGACTCGTGTAAACCAATTTTTACTGACTACAACAAGTCTTCCATACATTCTCGTCGAGGACGTGACTCTGGAAGAATATAAACGCCGTAGCGACAAGTTTAACGTTCAAGGTTTATGGGAATGGAAAAATTACAAAAGTCTTCGTTTATGAGCTTCCATTGAAGTCACATGAAACTTGTATTTCCGCGATTACTAAAGAAATAGTTAAGAAATGCATTCCCGTCGACGGAACAAATGCCGAGATTATAGGCCTAGGAGCAACCCGTAGGCATCAATCAATTAACTATCGCAGTCCTATTTCGTTATATCAAAATTAATATTCTTTCTTAAAGGAACTCGTGCTGATAATTCTGGAAAAGAAGCGGATGCTTCATTTCGTCCAATGAAATTACGAGTACCAGCACCAACAGGAAGTGACGGAGAGGTATGTACCTTATTGGTTGAAACCTTTTGACATTATAGCTTACGTTTCATGATTTCAGTGTGAACCGTGGCCAAATATCGTTATAGAAGTCGTATACTCTGAAAGTGTGGATCATATCTTTGAGAAGGTGAAAATTACTGGCTAAAGGAATATAGTCGTGCGCATGATGCGATAGTTGTTAAAATTGACCCAGTTTCTGAGAGAATGCCTTCACATATGCAAGTAAGTTTTATTTCCTAAAGTGTAAGTGGCATTTTATTTGCTTGTGTATCATTCTAACGAATGGAGCTATGTAGGCATGGCATTTTTGTTCTAGGGACAGAAGAATACGTGAAGGAGAACTTCCACATCGGACTCACGTAAATATAAGAAAACTTGTCTTTTCTAGAAATTTTCCAAATTTTAATATGAATGGTTTATTATTATTAGTTCGAGTTTGGCACCCACGATGGATCCGGAGATTTGTTGAATATTTCACTGGGCGTATGCCTTATCATTATTTATTTGGATTGTTTATACTACCAGGCATATCCCGGTATGCAAATTCCCCTAGATACTATCGTATTAAATTTCTTCTTTGTTCGGAATGCAATTTTCCGAAATATCTTGTTTAACATAACAGAAGGGTTGAGAAACCATTGCGTAGCATATTCTTATATAATATTTAAAAAAAGAGTTTGTTGGTTTGCCCGAATTTGAAATTTACCAAATAAAAATCATGTGAGTGCGAAGAATTCTTCCTCCGACCGCTTTTGCCAAGAAAAAAATTCTCGATCTTATGTAACATTGATATCAGAATAAATTCCAAAAATAAATGTAAAAGTGATTATTTTATATACCAGGGCTAACTTTATTGATACTGTAAAAAAAAATAAAATTCTTTATTAATAGTGTCAGAGACAATACAAATAATATACAAGATCGATTGATATTTTTACAATCGGCCTAACTGGCTTAACGTATGACCAAAAATCGGCCTAGATTTTATCGTGTAGATTCTAGTCCAATCTGATTGGTCGATTTTTTATAAGAATATAAAATGAAAAAAATTTTTACTATTGATTCCATCTCTTTCATTTGGCATCCATCTATTTAAAAAATGGTAGCGTATCTAAGATGAATTAGTATACCCACTTTAAACCCGAGGGTTCATTGTGTGGAGTGATATGTATTAGAGCGAACATTTATTAAAACTTTATCAACTAACAAGTTTTTAATGTTTTGCTCAATGACCCAAATATAATATATATATATGATGTTATGAAGCCAAAGGCCAAACCTTCTAAAAAGGTTGCACCCGCCCCTTATCCAGTCAAGAAAAAGGATGCTGGAAAAACGGCGAAAAATCCGTTGTTTGAGAAAAAACCCCGAAACTTTGGGATAGGTGAGTTATGATTTTATCATCTGTTAGTGGTTTAAAGACAATTATAAATTTTCTAAATTGATCGTTTGACTTTTTTTATAGGTCAGGACATTCAACCCAAGCGTGACTTGTCCAGATTTGTGAAGTGGCCGGAATACGTTCGTCTTCAAAGGCAACGCAAGATTCTTAATCAACGTCTTAAAGTTCCACCTGCTATTAATCAATTTACCAAAGCTTTGGACAAAAACACCGCCTCCAATGTCTTTAAATTGTTGAACAAGTACCGTCCTGAAACTAAAGCCGAGAAAAAACAACGTCTTCTCACTGCTGCTAATCTCAAAGCAGAAAATAAACAATATACGCCCAAGAAACCATACGTTGTTAAATATGGTATTAACCACATTACTGCTCTAGTGGAGTCCAAACAGGCAAAATTGGTATTGATTGCTCACGATGTCGATCCTATCGAAATCGTTCTTTGGTTACCCGCTCTTTGCCGTAAGATGTTAGTCCCTTACGCAATTATAAAGAGTAAGGCTCGTTTAGGAACCGTGGTGCACAAAAAGACTGCTACCGCTTTGGCTCTAGTTGATATCCGTGACGAGGACAAATCCACTTTTGCTAATTTGATTAATGGAATTAAAGCTGGTTATAATGACAAATTTGATGAGGTCAGGAAGCATTGGGGTGGTGGTGTCATGGGAACTAAATCTCAATCAATGATGGCAAAGAGAGAAAAAACTGTAGGCAAGGAAATTAAATAATAATTGATATATAATAAAATTTGAGTTATTTTTATTGAAGTTTAATGTTTCTTTGTTGAATACCATATAATTCGATTTTTTTAAAAAAAGCGTCATTTTATTTAGAAATTTATTTTAAGATTTTTTTTTTTGCTTAAATAAAATCTGATTAAAAATTAAAGTGAAATGTAATGCTTTTGTATGTAACGTGATGTTAAGCGGAAGATAAAACTTTATAAATTTGCACGTTGTAAAGTCATAATACGTTAGAGTTTTAATAATATACAATTTTATTAATTTTATTAAGAATACCAAAATGTCCTATTTATCAATTTCCGGAACCTTCTTCTTCTTGTCCATTAACACCATCAACCACTACTACTGAACCAGATTCAACGTTCGCATTTACATTTGAATGTTGAGTAATTAATTTTGCATTTGCAATCACCTGTAAAATATCCGTTAGAGATTGTCTCCAACCATCAAGCTTACTAGAAAGCTGTTGCCATTGCTCCTTCGTGAATGTTCGATATGTTGATCGATTTACTAAAATTGTCTTGCGTACTTGATTTATTTTTGCTTCGATCAAATTTGCTCGGATTACTAAAAAAAAAAAATACAAAAAAAAAAATAAGAAAATTACAATGAATAGCATTTAATTAATTAAATTAATTAATTAATTGGATCTACCATCGATCGTCCACATTTCTACTTCTTCTTCTTCGATTTCGAGAGCTTTTGCAATTGTTTGATAGGTAATTTCGTGCGCAACGTGTTCAGACGCCAATGAAGCCAAAGTTAACAAGCGAATCTTTCGAATATTATCCTCATTCTGTAGTCCTATAAAAATATTATGATTATTATTATTATTATACAAATTCCGATTCGCTCTATTGCTTGACTTCTTCTTACCCAATTTTTCAATAACCCCAGGATTGGTTTCGACAAAAGTTTTATATTCTTTTAAATTCCCACTTAAAAACACTTTCAATAATTCAAAATGTTCATCTCCTTTTAGTGATTGAATAGCACTTAATTCAAGTAAACTTTCGAAGTTTAAGATTTCGGGCAATTGAATAGCTTCGACCACTGCTCTCCGTACAACAGGTTTAATTGCGGAAACATCGTCCGATGAAGTGTATGTCGCAAGGTACTTTAATAGGAAGTCGTGGGATCGTTTACTATTAAAAAAAATATAATGCAATTCTCAAAAAGTCAATAGAATTCATAAAGCAAAAAAAAAAAAAAAAAAGGTATCAAAACACGTACACTTCTCCAGTTTCTTTTAATTTATCAGAGACAGTTAAGTAAAGCTCTCGAACTTGATCTGTAGTAATTGACCATTCCTTTACCCAATCATCCAGTCGTGACAATTGAGGAAGTACGGTCTCAATTTCATCATTTTTGGTGGCAATATTAAGTATTGCAATAAATACATTATAGCGAAGAGGAGAAGTGATTTCTAAAGTATTATATAAATTTTGGAGTCTATAAAATAAATAAATATGTTGAATAATGTTAACTTTGAAATTAGAATAAAATTTAATATCTCAAATAAATATTTATTATTACACCACTAACACTTTAAGTTTTTGAATGGTTTTATCACGTTCATCTTCCACTAAAATTTTAATAGATGCTTTTATTAAAGACGGATGTGTTTGAGGGGATGCAGATTTTAAAATGGCGATAAGAAGATTATATACAGCTTCGAATTCTATTCAAAAAAAAAAAAATTCGTTTAAGAAAAAAAATTTAATTAATGAATTATTATTAGGATAATCTCATCATCCTTGAAAAATAATTGAAATATTTGACATCCCATCAATTCCTATTATTCCTATTATTCCTATTATTATATACCTTTTTCTGGTGCATCCAGCAATATTGATGTTGCTACTGAAAATTTTTGATACATTTGTTCTAAATTTTTTTCTTCCAATAAAGCGTTCACCTCTTTTATAAATGCGCTATTATCTTCGGGTTCGCCCTTAAGTTTTGATACATAAGTTGCATATTCCAACGCCTGAAATGATATGAAAAATGTTTATTTTGATGAAATTAGACTTTGATTTCACTTTTTAAGGCTAGGTTATCAAAAATCAAAAATCATGAATTCTTCAGAATCCATTTCGCGCAATGGGATAATCAAAATTGAATACGATTTGAGATAAAATAATTACTTGGTATTAGAAACAACACACCTGCACCTCCAAAGGGCCATCGACAAATATGGTGTTGACGTATGTCATAATTAAAATTAAGACGAAAAAATAAAACTTCGAGAACTGCTTTTCTTCGTCAACTTTTTTCGAAAATTTTGATCGTCCAATCAAAAATCGCAATCAATTACGTCACATATATAAATTGATTTATTTAGTAGTTCTCTCAACTTTACGATCAATTCAAATAAAGGAGGAACGATGACAGACCGTTATAGGTAAACCACTTTCGATTTGAAATATAAAATATGTTATGACTGCTGATTTCATTCCATGTGTTTTCTGAATTTAGCTTTTCTTTGACGACTTTTTCGCCTTCGGGTAAGCTAGTTCAAATTGAATATGCTTTGAATGCAGTGTCGCAAGGGGTGACTAGTATTGGTATTAAAGGTATTAAATTATTATTATTATTATTATTCACATATTACTTAAAAGATTTTTATATAATTTATCTTATTCAAGTTTCTTTTGTAATTAATAGCAACCAATGGAGTTGTCATTGCCACCGAAAAAAAAGCTGCGTCACCACTTATCGATGACTCTTCTCTCGAAAAGGTCGCCAATGTTTGCCCGAATATTGGAATTGTTTATTCTGGCATGGGACCAGATTTCCGGATTTTATTAACTAAAGCAAGGAAAGCTGCTCAAAAATACAAAAGAATTTACGATGAATATCCTCCAACAGGAATTCTAGTGAAAGAAGTTGCAAGCGTTATGCAAGAATTTACGCAGAGTGGGTACGTGAAACTGAAGTGTTAATTGATTTTTTAAACTTTTATAACTTATTATTATTTTTTTTTAATTCTTAGAGGTGTACGCCCGTTTGGAGTTTCCCTATTAATTGCCGGTCATGATGAAACAGGTCCATCTTTGTATCAAGTAGATCCATCAGGTTCCTATTGGGCATGGAAGGCATCGGCGATGGGGAAAAATATGATTAACGCAAAAACATTTTTGGAAAAACGGTAGAATTTATCATCTATTATTTTTTTTTTTGCATGTTGAAATGACGCGTATCAAATCATATATTTATTTATATTTTTATATATAATATTATAAATATTCTATCTAGATATAATGACGATATCGAACTTGAAGATGCTGTCCATACTGCAATCCTTACTCTCAAAGAAGGTTTTGAAGGTCAAATGACTGAAAATTCAATTGAGATAGGAGTTATAGGTAGCGCGGTGGGATATACTGATGAAAAGCAACAGCCTATATTTAGAAAATTATTACCCTCCGAAGTAAAAGATTATTTAGCGAACATTGCTTAAAATAAATGAATAAAATAATAATATTGTTATATTTCAAAACCCGTGATTGATTGATTCTATTTAGTGTACTAATAGATTAAGGGATTAAGAGAATTTGACGAATAATTTATTTTATGATAAAAATCTTAATTGTAAGAAAAATTTCAGTTATGATAAAAATAAATAATAAAACTTATAGTAATTATTATTCATATTTATTTATTACTTATTTATTAAAAGAATACTGGGATTGTACTTTGTATATATATTCAAGATAGCAATCGCATTCATAAATTCAAAAAATTCATCGCGTTCGGAATAGGTTCATGTGATGAAACCTAGAACGATTGCCATCGGAAAGAATCTTTCAAAGTAGAAATAAGAAAGCGTGCTAGCATTCTAAGTTTGGAAACAATAAACCCCAACTAACTACATTGTTACACAATGTATGACTTCTAAATGATAAAAATATCCCATTCTCGGGTTCTCGTATTTTCGTTTCATTTTCTTGCTAAGTTGATAAAATATGGCACAAAATAAAACCAGAATACTTGAAACTGAGGTCTCGGAAGAACAGTCCTTTTCACGGGCCTCCACTCCGTCTGAAAGTTGTAATAAAAGAATGCGCATCGACGATAACTCTTGCCCTACTCCTTCGTCTCCATGGAACACGTCGCGTAAAGGGAAAAGTTCACAAGAAGAGTGAGTTGAAAGAAAAATTTATCCTTTGACACGTTTGAATTCTATTTTCAAGAATATTTTTTTGTATTTCCAGCATTATTTAATAAAGAAAAGTTTAACCCAATTTGTATTATGAGTAGATATCAAATGGGATCTATTGTTCGCGTTTGCCTAAAAAATTTTGTCACGTATGATTCCGTTGAGTTTTACCCCGGTCCAAATCTTAACATGATTATAGGTCCTAACGGGACTGGAAAGAGTACTATTGTTTGTGCTATTGCTCTTGGTCTTGGTTGGAATACGTCGGTACTGCGCATTTTTAGTTTTACTTTTTTCGCAATTACATTATGTTTTGATAATAATTGAAATGATTTGTAATGATTTTTTAATGAATTTCAATTACTTTTTATCAAATAAGCTCCTGGGACGTGCTAAAGAAATTTCAGATTTCGTTAAACATGGTCAAGAACGTGCATCTATAGAAATCGAATTAAAAAATAAAAACAAAAATGTAATAATTACACGAATGATTAAAAAGTCTAATAATACTTCACAATGGAAGTTAAATGGTAATAAAGATTTATTATATGGTATTCTAATTAAATCTATTAATCATATTTACAATATTAAAAGTTAAAATCGAATTCATATTTTAAGGACAAAATGTCACTCATCGAGAGATACAAGCAAGAGTGGCTTCAATTAATATTCAGGTTGATAATCTTTGGTGAGTTATCATTCTTTCATTATTAATAGTTATTATAAAAAACATGACTTACTTGACCTTCTAAAAATGAACTATTATATCCTAATGTAAAGTCAATTCCTTCCGCAAGATAAAGTATGCGAGTTTTCGCAGGTATGGATTTTAATACCGATTTTTGTGTGGGTTTATTCTTTTTTATTCATTCTTAACCTTACGCGTTTAACATTGTCAGATGTCACCTCCAGAATTACTTACACAAACTCAGAAAGCAGTAGGTGAGAAAGAAATGATTGAGTGGCATGAACGGTTAATTGAATTACGAAATGAAGAAAAGTCAATATCAACGGTAAAAAGTATTTCGTTAAACATTTGAAATTTAAATTATTAATAATAATAAATTAATAAATAAATTGGAAAATTTCTTTACAGGCAGCCAAAGCTGATGGAGATCAAATTGATAATCTCGAAAAGAGAAACGCCATTCTGGAAAGAGATGTAACTCGTTTCAGAGAAAGAGAAGCTATAATGAAGCGAGTAAGCAAAATATTTGATTATTTAAATTTTGCTTAAAACTTTAGATGCGGGAGAGGGGGGTTTTTTTAAAAGCCATTTTGTACGCATTCGAGTGAATGATTTATTGAATTGATAAAATATTAAATTTATAAGAAATTGATTATCTTTTTATATAGGTTAGACTATATGAATTACGTATTCCATTTGCTCGCTATGGTATAGCAAAAAATTTATATGATGAATTGAAAGAAGTCCGTAACGAAGCTCATAATGAGTATAATCGTCTTTCTAAAGAAAATGAGCCTGCGAATGCAAGAAAAAGGTATGTGAAACACATTGTGCTTTATTATTGTAATCCCAATATTAAGAGGAACTTTAACTCATTAATAAATACATGTACACTAGTGAACTCGAAAATAATGTGAAAGAACTTACTCAAGAGAAAAAACAATGTTCAGATTCTTTTGTTAAAAAAAGAAGGGAGATGGAGGGTGTAGCGGGCAAATTGGAAAAAACGGTTAGATACAATTTTTGGAATTCTTTAAATTCATTCATTTGAATTAATATAATTAATATTCTAATAATTATGTTTGTTGTAAAAACCTATAGGAAGGTGAAATTGATACTATACGCAAAGATTTATCTAGTATCAAAAGAAAAGAAAAGATGAGAAGGACTCGAATTGCCCAACTTCGTGAAGAAATTAGCGACATTGAAGCAAAACTCCAAATTCCGCCATCGAAACCTGATTCACCTGATCTCATACGAAGATTTGTAGGGAATATTTAAAAAAGTGTTGAAATTTTATCTGATAATTTATCTAATTTATATAATTTATGCAAACATTTGTGATTTTATCTTTTTAAGGATGATGTCAATAATCGTATGCGGGAAATAACATCAAAGATTGGTAATAATCGGGAACTTCAAAGTCAAATCGATGGAGAAAATAAGATCCTTTATCGAGATATGGCATCGTTTAAGCGACAGTAAATATTATGAGACAAGATAATTTGTTATTTTTGTATTTAATATCTTCGAATAATAATAATTTGTAAATTTTGTTTTTTATTAAGACTTCAAAACCTCGAAGATGTTAGGCGACGTAGACTTGACGCTTTACGAAATGAACCTGCGACAATAGCAGCAATTGAATGGTTGGATCAAAATCGTGATAGGCTAAACAGTCGAGTTTATGGCCCTGTTTGTTTAGAGGTTAACATAAAGAATATGCACTATGCAGACGCAGTGGAGGCTCTCCTAGGACATTTTATGAAGGTATATTTATAGTTTTTTATTTCTTGACAAATTCACTATATCAAGAATAATCTTCTAATTACATGAGTCAAAAAATATTAGACTTTCGTTTGCGAAGTTGAACAAGATTATCATATTGTTACAAAAGCGCTTTGTGATGAAAAAGGTTTGAAAATAAATGTAGTATGCTTTTCTCATTTGTCTATGGCCAAATTTCAACCACCAATGTCAAATAATCAGGTTAGTTAAGCAATGCTCTTTCAAATTATTCCCGAGTCTTTGTTAAAATTCATCTAACCCTATGGACTTCTATGAATTAACTTCTAGCTTAGAACACATGGTTTTGAGAGTTATCTCTTGGATCAGATAGACGCTCCCCCAACATTGTGTACGGCTATTTGTAATGAAGCACAATTTCACAGAATTGTGAGTAAAAAAATTTTTTTTTAAAGAAATATTTATATTGGTAATGTTTATTTTCGTGTTAAGTGTTTTCTTTTTTTTTTTAAAAAAAAAAAAGCCTGTGGCCAGAAACGAATCGGATGTCGATCACAAAAATGTTGAGAAACTTTTTGAATTTAGAAAATATATTGCAGGTGATACCTCCTACAGTATCACAGCTTCAAAATATGGTCGAAGACTTAAACAGTCTTATACAACCAGAATTAGGCCGGCAAGAATATTTACGAATACAAGTAGGTTAAGCTTTATGAGATATATTAATTTTTCAAGTTCTCAATTTGTTATTTAATATATTCAAATATTCTTTATTATATTCTTTTAGTAAATGTTGAGTCCAAACGTATTCTTGAAAGTCAACTTAATGAAATACAAATAAAGTTAAAGGAAAATGAACAATCACTTTATAGATTGAAACGTGAAGAGCAGCAACTTAATGGATCTTTATTAGTATTGAATGAAGAAAAGGTAAAGAAGGAAATTCTTGCAAGTAATTATTGTAATAATAAATGTATGCTCATATTATATATGTATATTATGTTTATTTAAGGCACAAATAAGTGAAGAAAAGAACAAAGCACGGGCTGCTTTAAATGAATACGAGAAACTTAAAATTAGACTTGGTATTCATTTTTTTTATAAAAAAAATATTTATTCATGTTATATTATATATTAACCAAACGATTTTTGATACATCTAATTTTTTTTATAGAGTCAAAAAACTCACAATTAGGACGTGAAATCAATAGACCTCAGTCTGTACAATATGAGGAAAATGTATTAAAGGAAAAACTTTGTGAAATCGCTAGAAAACGAGGCCAGCTTGCTGAAGAATTTCAAGTTAGTAAAAAAAAAAAAAAAAGAATTGAGAATTGAAATAATTTTTCAAAAACCTAAAAGACAAAAAACTTGTTATTTAGAATTTTTTGGATGAGAGTATGCAACTATTTTCTGGTCGCGTTAGGGCTTCATTATTACATCTTCAAGCTGTTTCCGAGCTTCATGCACTAGAAAGACAGACACAAGACAGGGACGATGCTTTGAAACAGGCGCATGCCAGGTTTACGGATGGTAATTTTTTTTTTTTGTATTGGAATATTTAGTGAATATTAAAGAATTAAATATATCAAACATATTAAAATTCTTTACATATATATATATTTATTTATAAAGCCAATAAGAAATTTTTAGCGGCTAAATCAGAAGCGAAGCGTTTACTAAATGCAGCCAACTCTGAAAATGAAGAAATCGATGAAGAAACAAGAGAAGCACTCCAAGAGGTACATTTTGTAATATCTCATAATTATTTAGTTTATTATCAATATCGAAATTTATTCATCAATTTATTATTGCAGCTAAATGGAATGAGTCTTGAAGAATTGGAAGATGGACTCGCAAGTGATCGAGCTAAAGCTAATTTACATTACACTGTTGATCCTAATGTCATCCAAACTTACGATAATAGGAAAGCTCAGGTATTTATTGGTTGATTAATTAGTTTAATTAGTTTAATTGAATTTTTTTTAAAATGGAATTTTCGATAAAATTTTTTAGATCGATGATCTTAAATCCAAATTGCTGGTTAAAACAAATCGATTAGAAGTATTGATGAAAGAAATGGCAACATTGAGGGTAAAAAATTTAAACTATATAAAGTTAATTTTTATAATATATGCCTATTATAATATGCTTACAATAATTATATATTCTTTTTATAATTAGGAGAACTGGGAGCCTCAATTGAATGAATTAGTGAAACAAATCAGTAAAGAATTTTCTAATGCGTTTGATCGTAAGTTCCTTTTGATGTGGTCACCGATTTTCCGTTTTCATTATTAAAGTTCGGATCTAGTTCTCATTTATAGAATATTTTCTTTTCGACTAAATTATAGGAATAGGTTGTGTGGGTGAAGTTCGAATTAGTACCAATGATGACTATGATAAATGGGGAATTGATATTTTGGTGAAATTTAGGTAATTATAATTATATGTATATTGAGAAATCTCAAATATGAATTTTAACCAAATAAAAATAAAAATAAAAAAAAATTATATTTTTAATAAATTTACAGGGATAATGAAAAACTTCAAGTATTAACAGGTCAGCGACAATCAGGAGGTGTAAGTAAATTATAAATTTTTAAATATCGTTATTATATTTGTTATGCAATGAACGAAATATAACATTTAATAATATTCATTACTTAATTAGGAACGGTCGGTTTCTACTATTATGTATTTAATGGCATTACAAGAATTGGCCAAAACACCATTTCGTGTTGTTGATGAAATTAATCAAGGAATGGATCCTCGTAACGAACGTTTGGTGCACAGTCAAATGATTCAAACAGCATGTCGACCAAATACTGCACAGTAAATAATAATAATATATTTTTAATAATTTGATGCGTTATCATAAAAAACTGATTGTTTTTTTTTTTTGATAGGTATTTTTTAATTACACCTAAACTATTGCCTGATCTTGAATATCATGAAAGAATGAAAATTTTGTGCATATATAATGGAGAATGGCAACCAGAAACTATGGATTGGCGTAAATACATAGAAGCACGAAAAAAGTCTAATGATTAATAAAGTTTTAAATATAATTAAATAATATAAATAAATAGTAATAATAATATAATAATTCTAATAATAAAATTTCTTTTAAATAATTTTTATGCATATGTAATATTTTATTATATAATTAATGTCTGATTTTTATGCGAGACAAATGGAAATACTTGTAGAATTTCAATAGAGCGAAATGACACTTTTTTAGATAAACTATTTAAACTAGTATATAATTAACAATCTTAGTATAAAACCAAGGAAACAAGATTAATTATAAAGATAAATTAAACGACGTGTAAAATAAATAGTTATATCTTTCTTTTTTTGATTTCCCAATAAGCAATAATTATTAAGACTTGTATTTTGATATTAAATTAAAAATTAAAAAGTATAAAAATGACAAATCTTTTCTCGTGATTCGGATATTTAAAATTTAAAAGTTGGTATAATTTAAAAAATGGTTTAATGTTTATCACTTTATTCTTACCAAAATAAAAGTGATCTCTAAGAAAACCGCAAATTTCAGACTAAATGTAAATAGCTAAGGAAATTCTTAATGGGGAACCGACAATTTAGTATCATCCTCCTTTTTGAATTTGATGCCTTTTTTCAAAAATATCAAATCGCATTAGAGGTACAAGGGGCTCAACATCGGATTCATAATACTAGATATTAAAAAATTTGAGGGTCAAGATAATGGAATTTTATTACTTGAAGTATAGTATAGTATGATGAAAATCCAGAAAAGTTTATTCCAAAAAATCAAGGACTTCGTTAATCAAGTTTTTAAAATTTCCGACCTATAATCAATTCATAACTTAATATCTAATTGCAGATAAGTGTTTAATATATATGTATATCTTATAACGCGTATGCAATTTTTTTTCGTTACTTCATCGTTATATTTTTCAGCGTAAAAATACATAAAACCCAAAGCTTTTAAAGAATTCTTGATCCATATATTTAACCGATTAAAATTGGTAATTATTTTTTTATCGTAGATATGGTAAAACTTTATTGACACTGCATATAAAAAAAGTGCCAAACTTTGAGATCGTGACATTGATGTCACGGTAAGATAATTATATAATGTATTTTTCTGAGATGCTATATTCGATGTTATCTATACTTAACGCTGATACTGATGTAACCGTAAATGTTTTACATAAAACGCAAAAGTTTATTAGTAAAGATAAAACTCTCGATTGGAATAATTCTTTAGTTGCAATACATATGATATAATTTTTTTGAAAATCATTACAACAAATCACTCGTGATTTCTTTTGGCTTCGGGTTACTTTATCCACTAACAAACCAACAATTATACTTAAAACCTTTTTCACACTTTTACACAAAATTCCATATTCATCCGATTCCTTATTAAAATCTTCTTTTTTATATTCAATAATAAAAGGGGTTACATTGCTTAGCGAGATCTGTCCTGAGTCATGAAGTAAAAAATACCATTCTCGAGCTACAATAAATGAAAACATGATTTTAATAAACTTCATCTTTTCTTTTTGTTATAAGAGATAGAGTAAATTGCGTACCGGAAGTAACGATACCATAAAGGTAATCAAAATTATCAATTTCATCCCATTTTCGCTTTTTTTTATTAACATCATGTGAGCTTTCGAGCTGTCTGATATTTTGCGCAAAACCTTCATTTAGTGATTTATCTATCTTATCTTCTGTAATGCATATGAGGATTTTTTGATTTAGATTCTATAATTGCGTAATCAGTCGGTCCATAGTATTTTTTGCCATCGATTTCATATTCGACATCCATTTCAAGAGTGCTATCTGTGAAGGATTGTTGATACATACTCTCTTCGAATCTTTTCATTAGAATTTTGGGACATAGTCCCGTAGTTTTTTATTCTGATTAAATATTACTGATACAGTTTTGAAAATACTCACCATCATCTCGAATTTCGTGGGTTTGTGGTTCAAATGACGGAATCTTTTTATAGTCATCAGAGTCAATGCCATATTCTTTTAAGACAATTCTCAAAGATTTATTTATGAATATTTCTGCTTTTTTCGTCCACTGCACTCCTTAGCAAAGTCAGAAAGTGCTGTTGCAGGTCCACCAGGCAGTCCATAATCAATAAGTTTTTTTTTTCAGTTACATATCTCTAAAAAAGGCTTCACCATTGATTTCCTCTTTTCTAAAAATTTCGAAGTTTTTCTCATCAATCTTTAATTTTTTCACGGACTTCAAATACGCAATAAGTTCTTCTGTGTCATATTCTTGAACTTCGTCAAAAGTTGGGGGATTGATTTCCATGGCTGAAAATTTGTAAAAAATAAAAAATAAAAATATGGAGTTTTAGGATATTTATATATGTATGATCAATCAGCTGACCTTACCGTTAGCAAAAATATTTAAGGACTAGAATGATTCCCTGCTACTTCTAATCGCAGGTGTTCTTATAATGATCACCTTTATTAGCTACATCGGTTATCTAATAGTTGTAAGGTAGTGTTAGAGTAAGAAGAAAGCTTTACAGATTATTTTCATTATTCAACATCATTATTCAACATACCGAAAAGGTTACAATGGAAATGTACCAAATAATAATAATAATTGGAATACAGAAAAAGGCAGATATCATGTACACAAAATAACGAATTCGAGACATTTGGCAAGAGGTGGGATGCTACAATCACAAAATAAATCTCTGTTATTTATATAATTGACCAAAAGAGTATCTGGAGCAAAGATTATGTAAATATTACTTATGTTGACATCAATAGACAATTTATATTTTCAAACCCCAATATAGCAATATTTTATTTAATTCATTTCTACGAAAACAATAATAAATTATCTCCACTCTAAAAAACAAATCCCAAATTTATTAATTATTTAATAAAATTACATTTACATTTTACAATACTGCATATAAAAAGTCTCAAATTCTGAGAAGGCGACAGCGTATGAAATTCTAAGAGCAAAAAAAATTTTGGATGATATAAACGTAACATTTTCTGATGATGAAGATGAGGAATTTTCCGATGACAACGATAACATTTTGATTTATATATGTTCTATCTGCTTATTAAGTAATAAACTCAAATGCTCATCAGTAGAAGTATAGTGTGTTTATAAGTAACTTGTGACGTCACAACCGTTTAAGGAGCAAAGGTATTGTTATTGATATATTTATGGTTATTTTTTTTGATATATCAAATTTCATGTGACAAAATAGTTATTTTTTTGATGCATCTATAAATAAAACAATTATATTTGATGTATCAAAAAAAATAACCATAGGTGTCTCAAAAACGATACTTTAGCGTTTAAGGATAAAATAAACTATCACGTGGGTTAGGGTAAGGGGTTAGTTATGATTTGTATAAATTTATACATACACTCGACTATACGTATCACTCATAATCTTATACTCAATTCTTACAGAAAAATAAATTATATTTTGCCAGTTAACATTCATAAAAACATCTTTATTAATATATATTTTTTGCATTATCTTTCGGAGGAAGTGCATTACAATTAAATTTAATTATTACATGATCGGCTTATCAAATTTAATATATTCCGCAGTAGTAACAGGAGGACATAGGCACGGTAATTCGGATACAATTATTTCTTCGTTTAATTAATTACAAATCTAAGGTCATCTGAACTTAATTTCCCAATCATCTGGACAGAAAATGTTTTACCTGTCTTATATTCTCCTTTCCAATATGAGAACTACTAAAAAGAAAATAAATTGTCCTCGCTCTTTCACTTCTTTTTTTGAAAGCATCTTCCGTAATATACTGGGCAATTGATTTCTGGTCTGGCTTCCTTATTAATTTTTATCTGGACAATTAGTTCATTCTTAACTTGACCATAATAATAGTCGAAGCGTTGTGATAGAAGTTCTACAAAATTATAGTGGCATATTATTAGTTCTTGATCCGTTTTTTTTCATTTTGGGATTCAGCTTAGTGATTTTATAATATAAATACAAAAATTAGCTCCATTGGGAGCGCCTTCGAAGGGGGCATAAGTATCGGACGTTGCAGTCATTGAAGTAGGATTAGATGGTAATATATCCTGGTTTGGGGAGTTGGAAGACAATTTTTCGATAAGTTTTTTAATTTTAATGACTCGTCTCTATTAACCAACTTCTTTTTTTTTTGCTGGATGGCTTATCTTTAGATGTAAATTCTCTGACATGTTTGGTTGATATAGGTGATGTTTTAGGTATATTTGATTTGTCAGTATGTGAACTATTATTGGCATCCTCTTCTGCAATCGTATCTAGATCATTTGCCAATTTGTCGGGTTTTTGCTGAGAATTATTTTCTTGTGAACTATCAATACTCATCCTATCTTGAAATGGAAAAGATGGTAGTTTCGATAATTCAACATCCTCCAATTCAAAATCTTTTGAACGATTCTTAACAGGATAAATTTCTATACCATTTATGCTTTTTTTCAAGACAAGCACGATGGAATATATGGTCGATTCGTAGAGTGGTAAATGGTTTTTTATAGACTCAAAAAATAATTCTTCGTTACATAATGAGCATGGGTCCGGAACTTCAACTCCAATCGCGATACCTTCTGGGAAATATTATTAAGAATATTTAATGCAAGAATTCTGTGATTGGAAAGAGACATATTATGTGTCAAAGACACTTAGCTCCGCTATAAACAGTCATCTAGATATTATTTCAGCTCTGCTTACCTGTTATATAAAATATTACTAGAATTTGCTCACATTCCGTTTAAAGTATCCTATCCAACCTGAATTGGTTTTATATCCAAAATTTTGTATGGTAAGATTATTATAGCAGAATAGAAATGGAAAGGTGATACTGTGATATTCCTTATTTCAATTTTTTCGTTCGTTTATTATAATCATAAGTGATCATTTGTCCACATATTTATTCAGGTGAGTCTTTATTTTTTATCACCCCCTGCATAGAACATGGTTAACCTGAGTTGGTACTATGTCCGAAACAGCGCAAAGAAATATTCTTAGTGATATTCGTGATGTGATCAGCGAAAAAAAAAATATCTAATAAAAAAATACCCAATTGCACAAAAAACATGATATGTGGGTGAGTCAGAGACTCGAAGCTTTGCATGGGATGTTGATTTAATATCTTAATTAGATTGAACAAAAAAAATCTTGGATTTAATGAATATCGCCTATAATATAAATTCGATAATTATATTAGCAGAGCTAGCAAGTCTAATAACTAAGGTTGATTTATTTCCATATATTCCCGTAATTCATTATAATCAAATATACCTACTATATTATTTTCTCGTATGTTTTATAAATCCTATTTTCGGATCATACGTATGCTCATATTTATTGGGGTTAGTTAAATATATGTTTTGCGACGGATTATCCCATACTTTTTCGTTGATTATTTCGAGACTTAGTATCGAGTCTTCGACTCTTCAAATTTAGGAACATGCATTTAAATAATTTATTCATATATTTTAGTTGTCAGCTTGCTCCAATTTATCTAATTCTGTTCTAAAAATATTTTTTTTTGCAAATTCGGTCCATTTCAGCCTGTTTTTTTTTTACTTTTCTTCAATGGGATCTGATTTAGAGTCCTTAATTTGATTATTTGTTTTCTCAGGTAAGACTATTTCTTGAGATGTAGTATTGGAAAATGTTTCAGGATTCTCGATTTTAGTATTTTTTTGATATACCATTCAGACAAGTTTAGTTCACCTATTAAGTTCACATATTCATAAGGATTTGATGTCCATATTTTTTTAATAGTACCCGAACCTATATGGTAATGAGAATTTTTGTCCTTTACATATTAGAGGATTTATATGTATCTCAACATTATTATAAATTATATGTCAAAGTTTTAGATAATAAAATATTAGAAACCTGATTTAATTATTTAGAAACAATTTTAAAATAATTATAAACTTAAAATGACATACAAAGTTAAGTTATATTTATATGAACAGATATATATTATTTTTGTCCTAAGTTTTTAACTATTAGAAACAATTTTAAAATAATTATAAACTTAAAATGACATACAAAGTTCAGTTATATTTATTGGAAATTTTTATGAATAGATAGATATATGTTACTTTTGTTCTAACTTTTCAACTATTTAGAAACAATTTTTAAAGCAATTATAATATAAAATTCAGTTAGAACTAAAATTATGCATATCCTTAGTGATATATCATTTTTTGTCCTAAGTTTTTGGAAATTTTCGTTAGATTTATTATTATATATATATTAATTTTTGTCCTAACGTTTTAACTATTCAGAAACAACTTTTTAGATTTTAAACATACAAAGTTTGATTAGATTTATTAGAAATTTTTGTTAGATTTATGATAAGTTATGTACTAATTTTTTGACTTAACTCTTTGTCTATTTAGAAAGGCTTCAGATAGATAGATAAATAATTTTCAATAATTTAAATCTAACTAAAATTATGTGCAAAATGTTATCATGAAGTACGCTAAAAATAAAAAGGAAGTGTAATGGTTAGACTTAATAGTTAAAATTAAAAAGCAATAACAGATTAATGGTTAGAAAAAAAAGCAATGACAGAATAAAGTCTTGAAAATACACACAAATACTCTTATGCTTCTTGTCTCAAAACCCCCAGTTAAGGTAGAAGGTTTTTAATCGGGTTTGAGATCGGGTGACTGTGTTTTTCATAACAGTATAACTTAGAGATTAAATAAAATATTGAATATTTTAATTTTCTTCAAAATATATATATCTACTTCAGTTTTATATTATCATTAAAAAATTTATACAATCAGATCCTTCTATAGTGACACCCTCAGGAACAAAAATATAATTATAAAGAAATTTATATAAATAATAGTTTCAAAGGGTGTTACTATAAAAACCCTGTGATTATAGAGATCCTTTACATAGCATTAATAAGCATTAGTTTTATGAAAAGTGTACTTATAAAGAGGGATTTATATGATGTGATTGTACAGGAAGTAAACTGTAGAGAGGTTTGACTGGATTATGTATATTATTAAATCAAAATATTAATCAATGCCATGCTAATAAATAAATGGATAATTTAATTATAGATTTCATTACTAATCCAAATAATTCTGTATTCCCATTCCATTGAACACCATAAAATTGTTAATTTTTCATTTAATTAATCAAATTTGACAATATCTATTTATTAATAATTATATACCATCTTTATTGATCGAATTACGTAACAATTTTACCTTTACACAGTTTATAAACTATAAATAATTACAAATATTTAGATTTTTGAAATATAAAGACAATTATTTTAAATGATTACATACTGGTCTGCTTTAACTTAAATAAAAGCTATACTCTAAATTCCAGTGATCAAATAAAAATATAAACATATAAAATATAATAAAACTAAATAAATAAAATAAAAATAATTCTATATCAAATGTGATAATAACAAAATCAAATAAAATATAGTATATTTAAAACTAAAAGATAATTATTTAATTCCAAACCAATTCAATTAATTTCCAATGAATTAAATTTATATTCCATTTCTTGAACTTCAATTTCTTCATCTTCAACTATACAAATTTAAATACTGATAATGTCTTGAATCTAAATAAACAATTAATATAAAATTCTTTTTTCTAAAAAAAAAACAAATAAAATTTGTTTACACTAACTAAAATGTATTACATTCAGGTATTGGTATGAGTCTACTTGTATATATTGCTTCAGGATGCATTTAATTTGGATCATATTGAATAAAATTCTTGTTTGATTTGTTTGCTACTTTAATTTGTTTTCTTACTTCATCATCATAAAGATAATATTCATCAAGTTGAGATTTTAATTCTTCAGCAGTTGAACGATTGAGAGGTTCAAAATTCCAGCATTTTTCCATTATTTCTTTGAGAAATTGAGGAATTTCACATTTAATTTCAGGTTTAAGCCCTTTGCAAATGTCCATTACAAGATTTGCATCATGCGGAATATTATAATATGGTTAGAACTTCTAACATAACCATACCAAAAGAATAAATGTCAGATGCTTGAGTGTATTCTCCTCTATCCAATGTCTCAGGTGCCATGTATGGAATTACACCATAAATTTTTTCTGGATCATTTTCTGAAACTGGTTTACATAATCCAAAATCAGTAATATAACTCTTAGTTAGAGATTGATTAACTATATTACCAGAATGCAATAAACCCATTTCACGGATATTTTTAAGTCCATTTGCAATTTTTGATAAAATAGAAGATTTTTTTCTCAAAGTTAATTTTTCAAACTTATTATTTAACAGTTTTCTAAGACTACCATATTTTGCATAATTCATAACCATCATATATTCATTTTTTGTTGGATTTTTAGTGATGCCATATATAGCAATTACTTTTTTACCTCGAAATTTAAGTTGATTTTTAATCTAAAATATTTATTAGCATAAATAAAATATAATTATTATATATTTAAAATAATGTAAATATAATGTAATTTAAATAATATGGTATATTTACCTCTTGCAAAAATTCATTTTTATTTGAGGAATTATCAAAACTTTTTAAGCAAACATCTTGTTTCTAGAACCTTTTCCAATTTTTTACTTCATAATCCCAACAATAAATAGGACTATCAAGCCATTTTGCTCTGTGTACTGTGCCAAAACCACCTTTAGCGAGGTATGTAACATTCTCAAATCTGTCAAATGGAATCCACTCAATAATTTCTCGACGTTTATTTACATTTAATTGTATTTTTTGAATAAAATCATCAATTTCTCTATTTTCACTTGTTCACTTATCAAATTCATTTTGAAATCGTTCGACATTACATGGATGGCACCAATCTCTTCCAGTATTATTTTGATGACATTCTCTACACTTCCCAAGAAAACTAAAAAATATTATTATTAATTAATTAAAGAATTATTATTTGATACTTATTAAATTGAAACATTGATTTAATAATTATGAATTTAAATACTCACTCCCTGTAATATAATTTATATTGATTAGTTTTCAATACTTATAAATCAAAATACTCACCGACTGTAATATAATTTATATTGGTTAGTTTATAATTGATTAGAGAATTGTTATAAGATATTGAATTAAATTGAAACATTGATTTCAAATAATTAAAATAATTATAAAACTAAATACTCACTCCTTTTAATATAATTATATTGGTTAGTTATAATTGATTAAAGAATTGTTAATTATATTGGATTAAATTAAAAAATTGGTTTTAAGCAATAATGGATCTAGATACTCACATCCTTTGATATAATTTATATTGATTAGTTTATTGTTATATGATATTGAAACATTGATTTCAATAATAATGAATACTCACCCACTATAATGTAATTTATATTGATAAGTTTATAATTGATTAGAGATATTGAAACATTGATTTCAAATAATTATGAATCTAAATACTCACATCCTGTAATATAATTTATATTGATTAGTTTATAATTGATTAGAGAATTGTTAGATGATATTGAATTAAATTGATTTCAATAATTATAAATCTAAATACTCACTCGCTGTAATTTAATTTATATTGATTAGTTTATAATTGATTAGAGATTGTTATATAATATTGAAACATGATTTCAATAATTATGAATCAAAATACTCACGAACTGTAATATATTTATATTGATTGGTTTATAATTGATTAGAGATTGTTATATATATATATATATATAATATTGAAACATGATTTCAATAATTATGAATCTAAATACTCACATCCTGTAATATAATTTATATTAGAGAATTGTTATATTATATTGAATTAATTGAAACATTGATTTCAATAATTATGAATCTAAATACTCACGAACTGTAATATATTTTATATTGATTAGTTTATTTGATTAGAGAATTATTATATGATGATTAATTAAATTGACACATTGATTTCAAATAATCATGAATCCAAATACTCACGAACTGTAATATAATTTATAATGATTGGTTAATAATTGATTAGAAAATTGTCATATGATATTGCAACATCAATTTCAATACTCACGAACTGTAATATAATTTATATTAGAGATTGTTTTGTAATTTATAATGATTGGTAATAATTGATTAGAAAATTGTTATATGATATTAAAACATTGATTTCGATAATTATAAGTCTAAATACTCACGAACTGTAATATAATATATATTGTTTAGTTTATAAAATTGATTAGATAATTGTTATATGAAATTGAATTAAATTGAAACATTGATTTCAAATAATTATGAATCCAAATACTCACATCCTGTAATATAGATTATATTGATTAGTTTATAATTAATTAGAGAATTGTTATTTGATATTGAAACATAGATTTCAAAATTAAATACTCACAAACTGTAATATAGTATTAATTAGTTTATGATTGATTAGAGAATTATCATATATATTTAATTAAATTGAAATATTGGTTTCAAATAATTATGAATATAAATACTTACTCACTGTAATATAATTTACATTGGAATTGTATATGATATTGTATTAAATTGAAACATTGATTTCAATAATTATGAATCTAAATACTCACGAACCGTAATATAATTTATATTGATTAGTTTACAATTGAATAGAGAATTGTAATATGATATTGAATTAAATTGAAACATTGATTTCAATAATTATGAATCTAAATGTAATATAAGTTATATTGATTAGTTTATAATTGATTAGAGAATTATTATGTGATATTGAAACATTGATTTCAATAATTATGAATCTAAATACATACAAACTGTAATATAATTTATATTGATTAGTTTATAATTAATTAGAGAATTGTTATATGATATTGGATTAAATTGATTTCAATAATTATGAATCTAAATACTCACTCCCTGTAATATAATCATATGTAATTAGTTTATAATTGATTAGAGAATTGTTATAGGATATTGAATTAAATTGAAACATTTCAAATAATATGAATCTAATATTCACAAACTATGATATAATTTATATGTAATTAGTTTATGATTGATTAGAGAATTGTTATATGATATTGAAACATTGATTATGAATCTAAATACTCATGAACTTATAATTTATAATTGATTAGAAACGTAATTTAATATATGTAATCTATTGTTAGCAATAAATTATGACTTTAAAATAAAGTTTAATATGTTTACTCTTCCGATTCTCCTGATTCTTCCAGTTCTTCTGTTTCTCCAGTTTCTTTCGTTTCTTCCGTTTTTCTCGTTTCTTCTAATTTTTCTGTTTCTCCAACTTCTTTCATTTTTTTTTAACTTTCATTTCTTCTCTTTAAAATTTAAAAAATATTGCATTATTGGATTAAATAAATTCCGTTTGATTTGTTTACATATTACTATTTTTTTTTCTATCCAGTAAAATTAAAAGATATATACCTATTAATTTTGTCCTCTTTTTAAACCAAATACTTCGTTGTTATATTATTAATGTTAATATTATTATTAACTATTGCTAATATGTGTGTTATTGATATTAGATACGAAATATAGAAAGGCCTGCCTTCTATTTCAATATTATTATTATTCCAAGTGTTGTTATTATTATTAGTAGAGATAATAATATTGTTACTGGCTTATTTTTATATTGTTGGGATAAAGTAAATCCTGCCAGCCAGCCTTTAATTTGAATTTGCCATTATTAAACTTATTTTTTTTTAATTTTTTAATGAAAATAGGTAGTTTAATTTTTGGCGAAATAATAAATATCAAATCGCAATTTTTTAAACAAAAATCTCAAAAATACTATATTTTTTATAACATTATTTTCGGGATAATTTTTTTATTTATTAATTTGTTCTTATTTCATTTTTTTAAATGGAAATTGAAAAAATTTATGAAATTGAGAAGGATTCCTACCGCAATTCTTCTGACACGTTAAAATATTAAAAGGTATGAACTTGAATCATTTTATTGACATTACTCAATCTGTATTCGTATATAGATGAAGAAGTCAAGTCCTTTCTACTCAATTACGTCTCATCATCAATATTTTAAAATGGTCAAATTAACAATAAATAATATCATTTATAAAGCTGTAAAAATAGTATTTATTTAATTCTAAAATAATTCTTATTGTTCGGATGCTAAAGAATCTTCTAGATGTTGTTCGTTTATGGAGTTAAAAAGCTCACAAAAGAAATAATGAAATAGAAATCACGGAATTTATCTTCATTCTTAAATGAGAAAATATTTATTCATAAAATCTTCCTCTTATAAATACTTTAGTTTAAAGATTATTTTGCGTTTAATACCTTTACATAATTTACATGAGTTGTAATTTTTATCTTCAAGAGAAAATTTATTCCATTTTTTTTTTTATACTTCTATAAGGATTACACATTTTTTTTATATAATTTACGATGTAAAGAATTATTAAATTATTAATTATTTCATTAGACACTCATATTTGTATTCATAGTAAAGACGAATAATAAAAAAAGAAATTATAATTTATTATTGATTATTATGTTATTCTTCTTACGAAGTAGGTTAGTCATTTTTTGTCAAAAAGAAAATATTTGTTGTGTTATATATTTATTTATTTATAAAAAAAAAATCATGTATATAAAAAGTCATTAAAGAAATTTACATGTTTAAAAGAAAATTAATGTTTCTTGTATAATGGATTCCAAATTGTAACGAGTCGAGTACATGATTTTATATTATTAATCCTCACAGGCCTCCAGACCTTAGAGATCGAGATAAGCAAGCCTAACTCTCAGGCTTGCAAGTTAATACTTTTTACTTCAGGTTCAATTTTACCTTAAGCTTCGCTGTGATTTTTGAATCACGTTTCTAACAACGATCATCATTTTTAGAATCGAGTCCGAGATAATTTATTAAAAATATTAGTTTAAAAAAAAAAAAAAAAAAACTGGATTCTCATTATTTTAATTAATTAATCAATAATTAATTAATAACATGAATATAACATGACGTGACGTGTTTGATTATGAAAAGTTTGTATAACAATGCAATGATATAAATTATTACGTTTTTTACTTCTATGAATATTGCAACGTTAAACAAGTCAAGTGAAACAAGAATCCAAATAAATAAACATCTATAATAAGTAATTAAAAAAAAACGAGTTTAAACAGGATTTTCCAAATTTTTCATATAGTCAATTGAGTTTTGAAGTTTCAGATTTCCTTTGAATAATATATAGCCGTTAGCAAAAAAATTTTTTCTTTTTTGAAAAAAAAAAAATAAAATAAATAAAATAAAAATTTTTTTTTACCTTGGACGACCCGGTCTACGTCCACTTGGTGTTCCAATTCTAGCTGGAGATATATGATTTCCATGATTTACTATCTCTTTATCTACCGGTATGTGTGTTGGTTTAATTATGAAACCATTATTAGGTATATTCTTTTGTCCTGAAGGAGTAGCATCACTCTCACTAAAAAATAAAAAAATAAAAAAAAAGAAAGAAAGAAAAAAAGGGGGTTACACAGAAGAATATTATGATAATCACGGTATTTAAAGTATTTAATTTTTATTGGCTACAATTTTCTTCAAATTTAGTAATAATAATAATTATAATAAATAATAATAATAATAATAATAATAATAATAATAATAAATAAAAAATACTTGACTCACGCTTCAGCATCCTGTTCAGTGTATCCTGAAAAATATTTATCGGAATTTCTATTAACATGATACATGCGTGTCGTTGGGTCATAATATGGACCACGTTGTTTCCTTGCCCATATTAACAAACTGTTCCTTTAAAAATTCCAGAGAAAAATACCCCACAAATTATAATAATACACAATCATTCAAAAATCACACCAGAATATATATTATATATATAAATAAATATATATAATTTTTAATATAATTGATATAAATTGATATATAGTTGAGATAATTGATATATAGTTGAGATAGTTGATAAGATAGTTGAGAATAAATTTTTTTTTTCGATGTACAATTAAGAAACCAAACTTACCATTCTTATTATTATTATTATTATTACCAAAATAAGTATCAAATCAGAGGACGATTTTAATATAAATTTTTATTTAAATATATATTTTTTTTTAATATTTCAAAATTAGAAAAAAATAATAATATATATGTTCCGAAAATTTTTCCCAATTTTCCCAAAATGAATTATTTTAAAATATTTAAATACCAGCAGTCGCTTGAATTGCGTCTTTTCTTTTAAGGTCTTTTTTTTCTAGTTATTTTTTTGACAGGTTAAAAAAAAACATTTTTTTAAAAAAAAAGAGATGAAGCCACTTGCTAAAACATTAAAAGAAAAAAAAAAAAATTCACAGCCTTAAAATCTCGTGAGAAAAAAAAAATCTTTAAACATACCTTGTGTTATATTTTTTGCAAGCTGTACATTTGAGTTTGCTGCGCTACTCTTTGACGTAGTTTGTTTAATAGTTATCTCAGTCGTTATTATGGTATTGGTTGTCATATTGGCGCGTTTTCAAAAAAAAAAACAATTTATTAGGTTTTTCGTTTTGTATCAGTTTTTTCTGGTTTGTTTACAGACTGAGTAAGTTGACAATCCTTTCAATGAAAAATGATATACACATGCAGATTTTCTAGTCATATAAGGAATAATTGCGTCACGATGGCAAATTAATACAACATCGCTTTTTTTATCCATAAAAAAAAAAAACAATTATAATAATCATTATTATTATAATCATTATTATTATAATCGAGAAGAATAGTAACAATAATAATAATAAGACGACGAAGCTCTTTGTTGTAAAGTAAAGTAATACTAAAAAAAATTTACAATTATAAAAGGCAGAATGTCTTTCTCAAAAGTTACTAATCCCGTTCTTTCAGAACATGAAACATCTAACGAGGACATCGAAGAAAAAGAAAATTCAGGAACTGAAAGTGAATCTTTAGATCCAACAGATTCGAAGGAAAATAAAAATCTCGTTATTGAGTCCGAGGAATCTAAAGAACCTAAGGAATCTAAGGAAACCGTGGAGGCTCCAACGAAGTTTAAGGAATCTAAGGAATCTAAGGAATCTAAGGAATCTAAAGAAACTTTGAAAACCAAAGTAGATTCTAATGAGACTGCGGAAGTCAATGAAGAGACTACAGAATCTTTATATAATAATAATATCCCTACATCATCATCATTATCATCATCATCGTCATCATCATCGTCATCATTACCGTCATCGTCATTTCCATCATCGTCATTTCCATCATCATCATCATCATCATCATCAATATGGCAAACTATATGGGATAACAATACACAAATGTATTATTATTGGAATATGGTTACCAATGAAACAAGTTGGGAAATTCCTACGGATAAATCTTATTGGGAATGGCAATATAACGAAAACAATGGTGATAATAATGAGAATAATAATAATAATAATAATAATAATAATAATAATAATAATGTTATCGACGAAACAACTCCAATCGAAAATAATAATAATAATAATGATGGTGGTGATGAAATAATTACAAGGAATAATTCGAGTATTACCGAAGTAAGTGACACTACAGGAGAAGAATATACATCACAAGAATATAATCAATATTATTATTCTCAATATGGATATTATCCAGAAGAAAGTTATTATGGATATGATTCTAATTCATTTATTTCAAATGAAACAACAACAACAACAACAACAGAAGCAACAACCACAACAAAAAGTCCATCAAATCCTTTAGAATCATTACTTGATAAAATTGATACAGAAGTTAAATCAAAACTTGATTCTTCTTCCTCTTCCACTTTAAAGACCTCTCATCCAAAATCTTCTTCTTCATTATCATCTACTACATCTACATCTTTGGCAGTAGATAATAATAATAATGTGGAAGATTCAGATTATTATTCTTTTCTTGCTCAACATGGTGGTTACGGAAGTGATTATAAACTTAGTGCAAGATTTAATGCACGAACGGGAAAATTTCAACGTGATCCAACTTTGACACCAGAAAAATTTTCAGCTGAATCTAAAGCATTTCGACAGATGTCATATTTCTTTGATTATGATAAATTCGCCGAACAAAGATCAAAGAAAGTGAAATTAGATGAATCCGTCGAAATCAAATCAACTAAAAAATTGAATAAAAAAGATGTAGAATTCTTTAAACAAAAGAAGAAAGAGAAGAAAGAAATGAAGAAGAAAGCATGGTTGATGGGAGGCGAATAAAAAAATTTTTAATTTTTTTTTTTTTTTAAAAATTGAGATATTTTCAAATGATTGTTAATTATTATTCGTATTATTATTCGTATTATTATTATTTAACACTAGACTTTACTAACTATATTTTCAAAATATATATATATATATATATATACATAATATATAAAAAATAAAAAATAGCAAATAAAATAATTCTTTATTATTAAAAACAGATTTATTCAATGTGAAAAAATATTTTTAATAATTGATACGTTGACTTTTAAATATTTCTTTATATAATATTGATGATTGTCTGGTTAAATAATATGATTTAAACAAAATTTATTATATGTTATTATATTTTATTATAATTATCAAAAATAATAATCAAGTGTAATTAAACACAATAAATTACAATTAATTGAAATACATATTAAATATATATAACAATACTTTAAATTTACAGAAATATATACATATAACATTCAAAAATAATTTTTTTTTTTTTTTACATAAATTCGATTTGAATTTTTAAATTTTTATAAATTAAAAAATATATTCCAAATTCCATCAATATCTACGTAATTGTGATATACCAAATTAACTAACCACCAATTATCTCCAATATTATTTAATAATTTTTGTGATGGTGAACCTTTGGGATATAAGTATTCCCATTCTGACCATAATGCAAATGCTTCTTTCTTTATTATTATTATTATTATTATTAAAAATAAAATAGGATAATAATTAATTAATAAAATATAATAATTAATTAATAAAATATAATAATTAATTAATAAAATATAATAATTAATAAATAAAATAATCATAACTAACCTTCCAAGCATTGAATGATACTTCTTCAATTATGGTCGGTTGAATAATTTCCTTGCCAGGAAAAACTCCCCACGTCACTGCAGACGGTGTTTCTTCTTTTATATTAGTTTCAAAAAATTCATCCTATAAAAAAAATATGAATTATTAAAAAAAAAAAAGAATATATATAAAAAAATATAATAATAATACAAAATAATCAAATTTATAAATTTACATTTCTTTTTGCAGCATAATAAGTAACCCAAACATTCTTATCAATAGATTTAGTTAATTTCTCAAACATTTCCGGACTTATGAAAAATTCGACAAAAGCTTTTTGATAAACGAAACCACCTTTTGGGCCCCAACCGAAATCAGGAGCGGAACTTTTTGCACCATTAACAGCAGGTTGTGAACTGATTGTTAAGAAACCGAGTTCATTCATTTTAATAAGATTCGGTCGTATTATATCAGTTTCTTTTAATAATGGTTCTTCAGACCAAGGTAATGCTGAAATTTCATAATTTATATAAGATTTGAAAACTTGGATAATATCATTTATCGTTTTTGGTTCTCCCCAATATTTCAAAGCCAAATCTGACTATTATTATTATTATTATGATGATGATGATGATGATTATTATTATTATTATTATTATTATTATTATTATTGTTATTATTATTATTATTATTATTATTATTATTATTATTATTATTATTATTATTATTATTCATTTTATTAATAATCAATCCATAAGTTCATTAATAAATATTTATAAAAAAAAAAATGAAATTATTACTTACAGGGATTCTCAATGATACTCCATAACCATCTAATTCACCAAATGCTAAAAAATAAATAAACAATAATGTAATAAATAATAAAGTATAAATAAATAATAAATAATTAATCCAAAATTTACAAATAATTTTACCAGGTGATCTAGCATCACCCCATCGTCCATTTGGAAAATTATCCCAATCTTCTGGTTTTCCTATATAATCTGCATTTTGTTCGTTCCATATAACTGGTTTTGCGGCTGGAACTGATCCATCAGGTTCCTATCAATTATATTAATCATATTAATCATATATTTAATATTATATAACCATTAAAATAGTTATATTTACATTTATATTTATATTAAAATATATATTTATATTATTACCTGTCTAATTATATCATTTGGAATAAATCCGGCACTAGATCTACGTCTATTTAAACGTCTCATGGCTCTTTCTTCTTCGGTTTGTACGAATTTCAATTTTTCCAATATCAAACGAACCGATTTTTCCAAATTCAATGTACATATGTGAAATCCTCTTGTCTTATTTTCCAATAACTTTGAAATCATTGATACGGTAAGGGAAACTCCATATTCTTTTACCGCTTGATCATCGTGCTAATCGATCAGAAAAGATTAGAAATATTAATTTAAAAATAATAATAAATTAACAATTAAATTAATTAATTAATAAATTTTTATATATGTATAACCAAAAAATCACCTTAAAACTTTCTAAAGCATTTAATATTTCCTCGGGTACTTTTATCTTACAAAGATTTGTAATCCTTCGAAAACTATTATAACCTTGAATTGGCATAATACCTGGAATGATAGGTACTTTTATGCCTATAATTATCGATTATTGTTTATTATTATTATTATTATCTCTGTTGTTTTTGTAATTTAAATTAAGAAAAATAATAATAATAAAATAATGGTAAATACCAATTTCACGACATTTCTTTTCCCATTCAACAAATGAATCAACATCGTAGAAAAATTGTGTAATAATAAAATTTGCTCCAGCGTCAACTTTTTCTTTAAGAAATTTTAAATCTTGTTCTTTATCAGTAGAATCAGGATATCCTTCCGGGTAACCTATTATTATATTATTATTATTATTATTATTATTATTATTATTATTATTATTATTATTATTATTATGTTTTATGTTATTATAATAGTGATAAATGAATAAATGGAAAATTACAAATTGTACCTGCTACTCCAATACAAAACCATTCTCCATATTTTTTTCGAATATATTTTACTAAATCAATCGCGAGTGTAAATTCATCATCACAAGAACTCCAATACTCATGACCACGTGGGGGATCTATTCAGATTATTTTTAGTATTTTTTTATATTTTTTAAAATTATTTTTTAGATTATTTTTTTTTAAAAAATTATTTTTAAATAATTTTTTATTTTTTTTTTTCAAATTAGTTTTTAGATTATTTTTTAGATTATTTTTAAATTTATTTTTTAGGTTATTTTTTTTTTTTAAGATTATTTTTTAGATTATTTTTTTTTTAAGATATAATAATAAAATCTTTTATGAGTAAGTAAAATTACTTACCACCGCGTAAGGCCAATATATTTTGTATACCTGCATTCTTGGCTTCCTGTTTAAAATAATAAATTTATTTAATCTCCCGTTAATTTTTGAGAAATTTAATTTTTTAAAATATAACGTGACTAAACTCCAATTAACCTTTAAATATTATTCTTTTACGTGTGAAAAAGAAACCTACTTTCAACGCATTCTCTACTATTTCTCTCACAACATTCGTACAAGTTAAATGCATACAAGTCTCAAATCCATATAATCCTTGAGAGGTGGTGCACATTTCTAATGTTTTATCTATAGTACTACCACCCGCTCCCCACGTGAATGATGCAAATAGAGGTTCCAAAAGAGACATACGTTTAAGTCTATTATAAAGATTTGCTAAACCCTTTAAGATTCAATATATGTTAATACATATGAGTATATATATATATATATGTGTATATGTATATGTATATGTATACGTGTGTATACGTTAAAGAGGTAAAATTTAAAAACATACTTCATCGGTTTTGGGCGGAAAGAATTCAAAAGAATAGTAAGGTTGATCTGACTCAAGACTTGATATCTTGTCGGTTATCTTCATTTCTTCAATATTTTTCTCTCGATATTTATTTTCAAAATATTCTTTTTAATCTTTTTTCATAATAAAAATTTCTGAACAATTGTGATTCGATATACGTGACTCCAAACCAATGAATAAAAGATTTCACCAAAAATTCCCTTTACGGTTAGGCGATTTTGACTTTTTGTCAACAGGGTGAGGAAGATGAGAGTATGAGGAGAAAGTAAGATATACTTTACGAATCTGGGTTGTATAAATGAGTGCGGATTGCTTAAAAATCAGATTCGTGGCGATTTAATATGTTTAAATAATATTGTATTCTTTAACTACACGTAGTATTTTCTATACAATTGAGATAATCCAAAATTCATTTGAATAACTGCCTTTTTTTAAAAAAAAAATTTACTAAAAAGTTGTCAATATTATTAATTTGCATGTAAATTAAAAACATTAAAAATATTTATTATTAAAAATAAAAGCTAGTTTCTTTTATTATTAAAAAAAATCACTTTTTGATATTTACATGCATGAAAACTAACATCTTAGTTTTATAAAGATTTTTTAAAAAAGAGAGGTTTTAAAGCAAATTTTCGTTTATATGTAAAATAACAAAAACGATAAAAATGGAATTGATTTTATACTAAACTTAGATTAGGTGTAATGTGCGCGTCGCTGGTTATTTATTTTTAATCAATCTATTCTTATGTTATATCTAGTTAATTTCTAAACCTTTACTTGTAGAGGGCAATAGTAACTATAACTAGATTCTTACGGTACTAAACTATTTAGAGATCACACATACAACCTAACTTAACAATACTAGTAAAATAAGTGTAAAGGAATTATAATACGGTCAGTTACTGTGAACTAGAGTTAGTAGAAACTTCTGACATAAACTTTTGTACTTTGTTTTTATTAGATTATGAAATATTATTCAATTGAGATCTAAACTTCTTTTTTCCATTTTTCTCTCTTACCATATTATTGATCCTTTCCTTTTCTTTTAGGTCTAGAAATTCATCGATCACTATATCTTCCAAAGTTTTATTTTCTATACAAATTAATAATAAGTATCTTTGGCTGTGCCAGCCCCACTGATATAATTAAGACCTCCAGCTGAGTTTTTGCCTCTTGACATACATCAGAATTTGAAGTGTCATCAGTTATATCAGATATGAAAGTACCATCATATCATAAGTTTATCTGTTCAGGATTATCATTGTTGGAGGCAGTCACAAAGTGGCTAAAATTTGTTTCATGAAATGCAGAAGATTGGTTATCTCTTTCTTGGCATATATCAGAAGAACCAGATGTTCGATGCTCTGCATCATCAGAGTTATTTTCTACCTGTTCGAGATATTATTCTCTAACAATTTGGAATTAGTATTGTGGTGACGACGAAAGATTGGTAAGGTGGTACGAAGATAGCAGCGCAGAAAACATGTGGTATGGGAACACAA